ATAGAAAATGTTTTAGATCTTTGAGTTCATCTCATGAAAAATGGGAGCAAAAACAAAAGTGTTGCATTTATATTTTTGTTCAGTGTAGATTATGAATAGCTTTGGAAACTTTATTCGACACAAGTTTTCTTACATTAAGGTTTAAGGAGACTGTATCACAATCTTAAGGTCTGGCCAGTAGTCGGAATTGATCTATTTGTTGTTCAAATGTAATTGATAAGTATAAATAAATGGTGTCACCTTTAAAAGGACATCTTCATATTGTATGGCCTTTAAGCGCAAAGCAGTGATACAGACCCAGAAGTCCTAAACTGAATGCTCACTCTGAGAGAAAATGTTATGCTAAAAAAACAGTTTCAACCTTGAATTTTTTTATCTTGTTCTGCTTAACTCACAAGGAGTTCAGCCCACGGTTATTTTATCCAGTTTGTTATGACAGCAGGTTAGCAGTGGTCAGAGTATGAGCCGTAACTTTGGCTCCTTGGGGCAAGTGGAAGCACTTTCATCTAAATGAGTTCATTGAATTTTACTTTGAGAGGCATTGAGTTAAATGACCAGGCAAAACAGCTTCCTGGGTACATGTGCACTTTGTGTCTGGAGGACCTCACCATAAAAGGTTAGGTGCATCTGTTAGCAGGACATATTTGAAGAAACAAAAGCAAGGGCCTTCACAGTGTGAATGACTATATATTGTATCACTTCTGTTCAACAATGTACATGATTCCCATGTGGCTCCCTCACAGTGTGTTGTAGGTACATCACATTTTTCATTGGAAATATTGCATTTTTAGCCATGCTTTTGGCAGAGCTTTTGTGATAGGAATGAACACTTACCATGAACTCGGCGACTATGGGTGAGGTGGGGTTGGCTCTCAATCAAAATGTTGTGGGTTCGATCCCAGCCCCTGCAGTCAACATGTTGATGTTTCCTGGGGTAACATACATAACTCAGAGTTGCTCCCAGATGGCATTGCCAATAGTGAATGTTTGTTAATGTTAGCATCCTTGAGCAAGCGGAACATTGCTCTACAGTATATGAATGGGGTGTGAATGGGTGAATGATGACTTGTTAATATAAAGTGCTCTGAGGGGACTTAAAGACTTGATATAGCACTATATAAAAACAGTCCATTTAATCTCAACAACTACATTACATTACATTTTATTTGTTAGACGCTTTTATCCAAAGCGACTTACATACTCAATACTGTGGGCAATCCCCACAGGAGCAATTTTAGGGTGAAGTGTCTTGCCCAGGGACACAACGACATGCTGACTGCAGTGAGGTTTGAACCTGTGCTCCCTTGATCCGAACACCAACGCTCTATCCACTGCGCCACAAGCCTCCAACTATTGGTTGATTTCTTAAGAATTGTTTACAGACACAGATGGTCACTAGAGGATTAAACATACTGACTTTGGTGATCCTGGCTTGTACTGTAGTGCCACTAAATCAAAGTTTTAACTTCTCATATGAAATCAAAGATTTGATCCCTTTTTCCTAGAAGCAATTGTAATTCTCGGTGAAGACTGCGGTTTGGATGGCCATGCAATTTGCAACATTAACATTTTTATCCCAATGAGTTGTTATTGTGAATCGTAATCATTTTGGTCATCTTTCAACGTTTCCACTTGGGCCTTCATAACATTTAAATTCTGACATTATTAAGTTAATGACCAAAAATGGAAAACTAATGAACAGTGGATAGAAAGATATTGAGACTCAGTCTTGTATAGTACCGCAACAAGCATTTCCTGTCAGTAATCACAGTTCAGCCTCCATTTACAAGTTGCTGAGTTAGTTTTATCTCTGCTTTTGCTCCACTGGTGATTAACTTGACACTCATGGGGCTTCTCCAAAACATTCCAATCATTAGTGTCTTAGATCAAAAATAAAATGATAAAATGGGGTACTCTCAGCTATCGTTAGTCCCCAATGTATTTCGTGTTCAAATTCCAGCTGCCGTAAATGCAACATGATGAAAATAAACTATTAGAGGTTAACCATTTAAATGTCTTTGGGCAATCTTGTTCTGAATCCAAACAACAAAGAAGGAGATTGGCATGTTTTATTCCAGTAAACTGAGCTGCTTTGAATTGATATTCAAAAACAATAAGTTACTTTCTTTGATTTGCAAAGCTTTATCCTCAAAACACAATGCCCTGAGACTACAATGTGTACTGTTGCCAAATGTCAGACAAACAAAACACATTCAGGTTTTTAATACATAGCAAGCTCTCTCTGTTAAACCAAGTGTGGCACTGCAAGTCAAGCAGTACACACAAGTATCTGTGAAGGTCATTTCACAGGGAAAGTTTCCAATGAATACCTTGAAGTTTTTTGAAGTAGAATAACTTTGTATGTAGTCAAATGTAACATCAGTCCAAAGAGCAAATCTTGTACAAATAATAATAGAGAGAATGTGTGTAGGGGTCTGGGATTGAACATCCATATTCTTTGGTTCCTCAAGGTTTTCTTTCTATGCTGGCAATGCCTTTCTTTTCATAATGTATGTGCCAAGTTTGTTTTGTTATTTTTAGACTTAATAATGTAAATATTATTGCAGTTCTCAAAACCGAACTCTATATTGAACATGTTGTTTTTTTTCCAGGGAGTTTGGGAGATGGAAGGTGAACAATTTGGCAGTGGAGAGGAGAGATTTCTTGGAGTCTTCGTTACCTCTGACTCCTGAATTTATCCGGAACATTCGACTTTTAGGCCGCAGGCCCACCACCCAGATGATCACTGACAACCTGATCAGGAAGTATGGGACTCACTTCCTTTTGTCAGCTACACTGGGAGGTAAACAAAGCATCTGTTGTTCTGAGTATAGTTTTGTTACAATGTTACAGTAGATATCCTCATGGTAACTTATCGAACCCTTGGAATAAACTGACTCCACCAGCAATGTGTTTTTTTCACTGTTCCATCCACTTTTTAATTTCAAGCCTTGCATTCTAGCTCACGTGAATGCTCACAATTACCAATAGCAGGCAGTCAAAAACCACACTAATCCTTGGAACAATAGGCATTTTATTTGAGGCAGAATAAGACTGAAGCAGACATAGACATAGACATAGCATATACAGATGCTATGCAAATAAAGGTTGAGCTGAAGTTTATAGGACCCAGGTAAAATCAGAATGTATTCCAGAATGAGGGAAAATGTGTAATTTTCAGAATGACCTGAGATTCCATTGTATGTTTATAGAAGCTTTTAGAGTATGCTAACCAAGGTGTCACATATACATAGCCTTGACATGTCCAAACTCAGTCACAGTAACTAGCTGAATAACTCATCATAGCAACATAACGTGGCACTGGCAGCACAGATATTGCTCTTCAGGGAGGTTGGAATACATGTTCAACCCTTTGCACAGTAAACCAGCCACTCGCATTGTTGTTCCTCTATGTCTATGTGAAGAAAAAAAGAACAGACAAAAAAGATTCAAGATGCCAGAGAAGTCGAGGCGAGTCTTGCAGATCCAATTTGCTTTTACAGAGCAACACTTGTCAATTATTTTATACTGAGTCCTGGTTTGGAAAAAGTCGCAGTTGTGAGTGGCTGTATATAATGCAACAGAACCAGCTTCCTGAGCTGATGCAGCCCCCCCACATGACACACACACACACACACACACACACACACACACACACACACACACACACACACACACACACACACACACACACACACACACACACACACACACACTGGCTCCCAGCCAGCACTTAGTGGTATGAAGAGAGGAGAATGAGAAGTTTGCCTTGGATTGTTGCCAGAGATATGCCTCTGTGGTTCTCAATGGATAGCCTCTATGTTCGGAAACATATGGACTTAATGAAATTAATAAATAGATTCTGATATCAAGAGGATGCCCTTCAGCAGCCGAGGAAGAGAGGCAGTGGGCAGAAAAAATAGCCATATAGCATTAACGCTGCATTATGATGAGGAATATGACGTGCAGTGTCTTGGAGACTCTCAAGCAAAGAGTGTGTGCTGCACCATGGCCCCTAGACTGATTGCTGTGATCTACGGCTACTGATGGGTCACGTGGCTTTTTCTAATTGTGGTGAAGTATCCATAGCGCTTCAGGGGCTCCTGTATGGCTGCTCCAGGGATCTTAACCACCAGGAATATATGTGTGTGTGTGTGTGTGTGTGTGTGTGTGTGTGTGTGTGTGTGTGTGTGTGTGTGTGTGTGTGTGTGTGTGTGTGTGTGTGTGTGGGCATTTGTTTATGCACATCGAGATTAAGATTAAACTAATTTCTTTCACTTGGGAATACACATATAACTATGGAGAACCAGATTTGTGTAAATTACTGTTCGTGGTAATTTGAAAACAAATGCCTTCTCAGATTCTGCTGAGTTACACGTTACTGCCTCCAGTGCCCTGTACGACGGAGCCAGTTCAACAGACCCTGGATATGTTTGATTTACCCGGCTTAACCACCAATAATCACTAAAACACTTAAAGATGCCTTATGTCTCTTTGAGGTTTTCCTGTTGTGTGTTATACATGTTGTGTGCATGTAAATGGTCGGCAAAGGCTTGAATCCCAAAGTTCCCTCCAGAGTGAGTTTCTCTCCCAAACACTACCCCCTGCCTGAAACGCCTTGATTGAACTCCTTTGTTTACTACTTTTTTATTCTGTAAAAGAGTGACATCACTCCATTACACTTGGCTAGCGCTCCAAAACATTGTAGGTGGTAAGCTAATGGGCGGTACATCTCCAACACATCTGTAAGTAGTGGACCAATCACAACAGAACTGGTCAGCTAACCAATCAGAGCAAACTGGTATATGGTTTCGGACACAGGGTGAAAAGTGGTGCTGCAGTACAGGCAGTACGATAAAAATAAAGCCCTTTTTAAACATTAAAGCATGTAAACATGTCACAATAGAAGCACAAATATGAACCTGAACATGAGCATAATAGGGCCTCTTTAAGACACTAGCTCTTTGTTTTTATGTAGGAGGAGAGACACACTTAAGCCATGGAGAAGCCCGCATTAGCAACACTATATTGTGTCACTTTACAAATTGTAATCTCAATTTTCTGAAATCATACAATTTCTGTGCAGGAGAGGAGGCCTTAACGATATTTGTGGACAAGAGGAAACTGAGTAAGAAAGCAGAGGTGAGCGATTATTCCGGAAACTCGTCCATTGTGACTCTGGAGGCTCTGCACCAGCTGGCTGCCTCCTACTTCATCGACAGAGAGAGCACTCTGCGCAAGCTGCACCACATCCAGATCGCCTCAACTGCCATCAAGGTAATGCCTTTGTATCTCTATCTCTATTGTTCATCAGCCCAAAATCAAGTCAATATCATCATGCAGACATTGACAATAAGCTGAGATGGTAAAGATTCAAGAGGCTGAGTGTCTTGGTCGATAACTGTTTGACTTACGTCCTTGACAACCTTTTGTTACCATGTCTTTCATATTTGTACAAACTTTTTTTGCATACACATTTTGCAAATCCATCCATCCATCCATCCATCTTCTCCCGCTTATCCGTGGTCGGGTCGCGGAGGTAGCAGTTCCAGCAGGGAGCCCCAAACTTTCCTTTCCCTGGGCACATCAACCAGCTCTGACTGGGGGATCCCAAGGCTCTCCCAGGCCAGCGAAGAGATATAGTCCCTCCACCTGGTCCTAGGTCTACCCCTTGGTCTCTTCCCAGCTGGACGTGCCTGGAACACCTCCCTAGGGAGCCGTCCAGGTGGTATCCTTAATAGGTGGCCGAACCACCTCAACTGGCTCCTTTCGACACGAAGGAGGAGCGGTTAAACTCTGAGGCCCCGGCCACACGAGGACGAAAACGGTCGTTTGCGTTACTGTTTAGTGTCATATAGACCGTTCGGCCACACGAGGACGACCGCAATATGACAGTAAACAGCTGCGGAAACGATAACGGTCCCAAGGTGGATAGAACGCGCATACCAACGCTACTGGGGGTCCAACGGCTCCGTGTTACGCCCTATAACGATCATTCTTCTGATGACGCATAGCCCCGGCCTCCAGGGCTCTTGCGCTCACGGCACGCGTTCAAAGTAAGCTCCACACTGCGCGACACTGCCGATTCAATCCACTCTCTCTCGATATGGACATAACACGCGAGTGAAGTCTTAATCTGACAGGACGGAGACACGCAGCTCTGCTCGCCTGCAGCTCCTCCCGCTGTGATGCAGCGTGAACGGAGCAAAACACACACTTCAAGGCTCAGATCATCGCCCTTAGCTATTTTAATTACCTCTCAAACTACCTAAACCAAGTTATAAACATGTTTATTTTTACTGTCGACCTGCGTCACTCCATTAACTGGATCAGCGACGCATGAGACAGCACTGACGCTGTCCGAAGAGACGGGAGGAAAAGAGAGAGGCTCCATGTATTTTATTATATATTATATAGAGTCCGTCTATTCATTTGTTTTAAAGCTCAATAAATATAGACAAAGAAGACCCTTTGACGCGTACTTTTATAAATTTTTTTTTTTTTTTTTTTTTTTGTTTCGAAGATTTAAACTTAACACAGGAAGCTTTTTAAACAGCGCACGTAAAGGGCTCCTGGCCATATGTACTGCAGCTGTCCTCCAGCGGTGGGAGCTAAACGGAGCCTGTCTCGGTAGACCAGACACTATCGTGAACATTGCGTGTGGACCGGAAGCCTTCCTTTTGCGATTGCGTTTGCGTTAATCCTATGCCCGTTTAGTCGTATGCGTCAGCGACAGGGCCAGTCAGGGGAGGCAGGGGAGCAGAGCCTCGTCTGTCCATACTCGCGAATGAACGGGCAAAAACAATAAAGAAAAACTAAATAGTAATAAAAAAAATGTCTCCACTGATCTATGATGGTAAGCAGNAAACATTTTCTATGTTCACAAAATAACCATTTCTCTCAAATATTGTTCACAAATCTGAAAAAATCTGTGATAGTGAGCACTTCTCCTTTGCCGAGATAATCCATCCCACCTCACAGGTGTGGCATATCAAGATGCTGATTAGACAGCATGATTATTGCACAGGTGTGCCTTAGGCTGGCCACAATAAAAGGCCAATTATCTCGGCAAAGGAGAAGTGCTCACTATCACAGATTTTTTCAGATTTGTGAACAATATTTGAGAGAAATGGTTATTTTGTGAACATAGAAAATGTTTTAGATCTTTGAGTTCATCTCATGAAAAATGGGAGAAAAAACTAAAGTGTTGCATTTATATTTTTGTTCAGTGTAATTTCCTAGTTTGCTTGCTAATGTTTCCGGGGAAAAGCACTTTGTCAAATCTGACATACATAGAGTATTTGTCACTAATCTACAATGATTGCTGCTCAATGAACACATATTGAATGTTAAAAGGATGCTAATCATGTTATATATGCAGGCAACAAAATACTTTAACCTGCAGCTAAATTTCATTTCTCGGTTAGTTCACAAATTCTCCTTTTTTTATGTACTTTAATAGAATACCTACTTAAAGAGATGTAAAGTCTCAGCACATAATACGAACATTGCTCTTTAAAATTCTGTGTGGCCAACTGATACAGAAGATAAATGTCATGACCTCCAAGGAGAGACACTAAAAGAGACTCCATTTCAATATTAATGATGAAATTCACATTTTCTCCACAACCTTTGCTAACACATTATGCCACCTGAGTCCTGCCCATTACCTTTTCCTTTCTTATGTTCACAATGTATTGTTATTGTACGTTATATATGCGTTTAAAAGTATGAATATTTGCAGTTGTTTTTTTATGAATACAGTCAATGGATGGATCTATCGGTAAAGCCTGGCTTATCGGTAAGCTCTTCATGAAATGTTTTTTAAGCAAAGCAAGTGATCTCTCAACAGCTTAACCACAGTCATCAGAGTAAGGATAAAGGCAGTTTTATAATGTGTTGATAAGTATTGGTTCAAAACAGGATGCAGACGGAACATTTGCTCAACAAATAAGAAAACCCACCCACAGAGAAAAAACCTGTTTCCCCATCTGTAACAAGGACTAATACATCTGTCTTTGCTAAATGAAAACACTCTTTGAAGACCATAACTAGCTTTGAAGACCGTAACTATCTTTGATGATCAAAAAGTAAGACTGTGATATTAGGCCATGGGCAAGATTTCATTTATTTTTTCAAACACTTTCCCTCCATCGCAAATCTGCATAGCAATGAATGTATAAAGAGACATTTATGAAGTCACAGGCAGATATCTCAGATGTAATTATAACTTATCAGTTGTGATTACTTTGAAATTTCTCGAAGAGGCTCAATGAACAGTGCCAATTGTTTACTCCATGCCTGGCACTGCCCCCAATTTACTCACATAATCACGCGTATATGAGATGAAAGAAACAGGAGGCAACAGGGAAAAAATGCTCCTCTAATAAGACACACCTGCCTTTCAGAAAGTTTTATATATTGTTCAAAGGGCTCCATTCTTATTCCTTTTTAGAAATAACCCAAACATTTTCTTGGTAAACGTTAGAACCAAACAAAGGAGCCACCTAAACATAAACATGATTGATGTCATGACTTAGGCTATGTTTTTGTCAGATTACATAATGTGACAAGAAAATAAACATTCACAAATGCATTGTTCTATCAGTCAAATGTTGCACTTGTTCTCTCTCCAAAGTGAAACCTTGACTGCGATAATCAGAGTGGCTTGAACAACCTTCCTTGCTTATGATGGATGAAGGGAGTGTGGCCTTTTGAAAGGGTATATATCACATTAAACCAGGAGTAATGAGGACATCTCAAACAACCAGATGTTTGAATGATACACAATGTAAATCCCTGTGCCCACAGAAGTTAGAAGAAGCTGAAGGCGAATATTTCAACGCACATCAATTTACATTTGTCTTATACGTCATCACAAACCGAGGAAACTAATTCACACAAGATTAAGCAGAAACTGTAGGCAGAGAGTGGGAAGTAAACATAATGATGTTAAATGGATATGTGGTAGCCGTTGACCTTTTTGCTGACGCTGTGGTATTCAGACAAAGCCTTTGACTGATCTCTTGCTCAGATAAATGTAGTGTAGCTATTAATCTTCACCTCATTTCATGCCATACAAATAAATGACCTCTTCAAATGGAACACTGTGTCTCTTGAGTTGTGCCTTGCTGCCTTAAAGCACTATTTCAAAGCTGCAGCACGTTCTGTAGGAGAACAGGAATACACAAGGAGGGAGCGCAAAGGAGAGAGGTCGGGGGAGGGGGGGTAAGAGAACAGGTATATAAAGAGCATTCGCAAATCCCCGCTGTCGTTCGTTTTCTTCAGTTATCGCTGGCTATGATAAGCTAGCCACGTCTTATCTTAAACCCCCGATAGGCCAAATGGTTCGTCCTGAAGGAGAGAGGAGGAAATTAAATGGGTTTCACCACAAAGTTGACTTTAGGGGCTGCAATCCTCCCTAGAACTAGCAAAGTCATTATTATTATCAATTTTGTTGCTCCCTTTCGCCGAGGTACATCAGTTTCATCAGTTTAACACTTTGGATGCTATCATAGTCAAGTTGGTTATAGTTATTGACTTTTCTCTACATTCAAAGAGAACCCATTTATGTTGGCTGTTTTCCTATGTTTGTGGAAAGTAACATGGTAGATTCGAGCTCCAAAATATGCTTGTAATTCATTGCATATCAGAATAGATTCTTATAATTTGAAACCAAAAATAAACACAAACTTTTTGGCCCGCAGCTCCTCACACAAATATGTAATATGTCACTGAGTTGTAAAACAGACATCACAAAGTTATATTTGATTATTAAATATTATTATTATATATTTTAATTTATAACTTTAATACCTTATCACCTGAATCTCCTCCTAGAGCACCATTTTGGTTTTTTTAACCAAATATCTCACGGAGGGGCGTGGCGAGTGGCACCTTATTTTCATGTAAAGTAAAAGTAAGAGAATCAGCACTTTGGAAACAGGGCTGAGACAGAGGGGATTATGGGATGCTACAATTAATTATCTGTTTGGCATTTCGAGCCAAACACTTCAGAGACATGTTTTGTATATATCTGAGACCTATAATATATTGATGAAATACAGTATAATAGGGGACCTTTAATGACAACATAACTACAACAGTTAGTGTATGTATTAATTATTTAGAAACAATCAGCTCAAATGCCACAGTATGAGGTTAGGGTTAGCCATTCTTCTGCAGTAAGAAGCACTATTACTGTTTGGTACTTCAAACATTATGTAGCAGAAAATACTCAAGTATCATTTTAAAACCAGAACTATTATTTTAGTATCGTTAGCTTGATGTACTGCTGCAGTTATTTAATTAAAGGTGATAAATACTGTTATTTGACTATCCACATGTATTGGCTGGCATATGGCCTAACCGTTAAACAGTTAAATAATATCCAATGAGTATAATGAATTTTCACTTTAAAATAATATTAATATTTTGATCTTGTTCCATTAAAAACAATCCAAATGTATTATCAAAATGCAATATGTTCAGAATGTGGCCAGCTGCACATTAACACTCCTGCCTTAACCCTGGTGAATACTGCTGCTTTCCCCTTGGCAATGTTTCCTGTGGACAGGTGGCCGAGGCGGAAGGCCCACATTGTGTTTGCACTGCAAGCAATGAGAATGTGCTGCAGTGAATCCCCAAACAAACACACAGACACAAAAACATGAACCCTCTTTTCTTTTTTTGCTTCAGAGGACTTGTTAAAAATCCTTTCAAATTCAATCAGTGAGAAAGGCGGGAAATTAAGTAGAGGGTTAACGTGGTGTGAATTCATTACCCCATCGTTGCTGAGGTAGCTCAAGAACTGTAACCCCGAAGCACCGATTCTGGTGATCCATCTTCTTCTGTCATTGAGAATTTATTAGGATTTAGCAGAGATCTTGACTACACACGAGGAAGACCAGACCAGAAAATAACATTGTCACTTTCAATCACCTCCGCCCTCTATTCTGCACAGTGAGGTGCCTCTTAACCAACGATGGACATTCAAAAATGATTATTTACAACAAACACAAGCTTAAGATGTCCACTGTTGCTATTGTTCTATCTGAGCAATTCCTTCTGACACTTATTGATGTACATTCCTCAAAAAGACAATGTATAATAGCAACTACTCAGCGCAGAAACTGCTGAGACAATGAGATGTTAGCACGTCCAACTTTGTATCTTCGTAAGACATTAACTGTATTTTCGAACATAATGTGGCTCTTGTAAAGCCATTACAGCTGTCATATACATTTTTTTTAAATCTAAGCTGCTCTAAACCTGTTTTTAAATAAAAAATATCTTTATCTTAAACCTTATCAATAATGTGATACAGTTTGTGTGAATATTATAAGCACTCAGGAGGCAATTTCTCATAATCACAAATCTTGACACTGATTCACTCACTATTAAGCAGTAACTAGGCAGAATGTGGGAATTGAACGTAACGATGTAATATGGAAATATATTAGTCGCTGACTTTTTTAGATCGTTGCAATAAGTCATTCATATTAACCCTCCTGTTGTCTGAGGGGTAAATCTGACCGATTTACTACTTTCATCAATCATAACTTTTTTGTTTTACATTCGATTACATTAAGGCTTTATGATATCCTTCACAGTAGACATATCACATTGCTGATCACCACTTTCATTGAATTTTGGATGATGTAGTCAACTCTGTAACACCCATGGTGTTCCCGGTCAAAAATGACCGCCATAAAGAAAAGAAATTAGTAACCACCCGGATCAGATAAAACACACACACACACACATACACACACAAACACCCAGGCCCGCCCCTCCCTACAAGCAGATCATGCAGACTGCGTGGGGCCTCACCTCGCGGAGGGGGCCTTACCTGAATCGCAAATTCGCCGCAATTAGGCACTGCCACAGTGTAGCCGCTGCGAGGCTCCGGTGCTCGAAGTTCACGCGCTTGCTCCACTAGCACCCCCCGAAGTTCGCGATACAGAGGGCCTCATCACATAACTTTGTGTGTTCAAAGCGTCAGAGCGTTTCAGCTGTTTCAGCCAGAGACATGCCGTTTTTTTCCTCTTAAACTACAGAAACGGCAATAAACAACTCCATTAAGTTTTTCATTGAGAGGCGTTTACTTATTTCGGTGAAACAAATGTGCGTAACGTTTTAAAAGATGCTGATAGTCTCACCTTGATTCTGGTGCATATAGCTTATTGTTTTCTGTTTGTTCGTTTAAAGAGTGGCCGTTTCTCAATCGCGAGGATACTGGCTTGGTAGTCGCATACTTCCGAGTCACTTCCGAGTCACTTCCTTCAGAAACGAAGCAAGTATACTTCCAAGCCACGGCTTCGGAAAACAAAGAAGAATGGAACAGGCTAACAAGTGTGCCACTCTCTCTAACGGTTTCAACATAAACACCGAAAAATAAATACCTCCCGATGTCTATCTAATTATGAACTTGCTTTACTTTCACGGAACACATTTTTGGTGATAACAAATGCAACAAAGTAACATATTTACCAACACATGTTCTACGCCACTACATACTTACATTTAAATGTGTGCTGTGCTGCGTCGGTTCAGCCATTCTCCGCAAGGGTTTTTGAAATTGGTCCGTGCGCAAAGTATTGTGGGGATTTGAAGGACGCGAAGTCTACCCATGTGCAGCCTCGAAATTACCCCCAAACCAAGGACGTGGCCTCGGTGGAATTCCAAGTATGCTGGAGATTGGAACAGTCCTTCGGCGGCACTCGATGACGTATCCTTGAAATATTGGCTTGGAAGCCAGTTTCCTCGCGATTGAGAAACGGCCCGTGTAAGAGTCACGTTTCTGAATCGGACACTCTGAATGGATGCAGTCACAGCCAATCGGAGTCTGATTCAGAGGGTTGCCTTTCAGTTCCGTTGTTATGTGTACTGAAACGAGAGCCGGTATAATTCCACGCGCGAAAACAAAATAAAAGTTGGAATACGTTATTTTAGTGTTTTGAAAGTAGACTGAGGTATGGCAAGGAAGTTTACTACAGCTGAGGCTTTGGAGCTGATTTTTCAAGGGGACGATGTTGATGAAAATTCAGACGAATCTGCTCAGCATGCCATGTGTGATTGTGGACATGATCATGTGTACTCTTCAAAATTGGCAGGAAAAAAAATGACAATTCCTCGGAAAAAAAACGCCCATGGACACTGCCCAAAATAATGGGAATAACTAATGAACAGAATAAGTTAGAATCTTCTAATCAGTTCTGATACAATGATAATAAACATGTGCAATTTTCCGTGTTGAAAGTTTCTTTCAATGTTATGGTCAGCAGTTATTTTTAATGAAATAAGTACAAAATTCAAGCTCCTCTTTTTATTTATTTTTTATTTATGGGCAAATATCCCCTATTACGGTACGTCCACACAGCGGCTTTGGAAAAAGCTTGCCGGCGGGCGTGTCTGAAGCTCGACCAACAACCAATCACATGAATCTCCAGCCCTTGACACACAAGCAGCGGTTTGATTCGTTAGAGCTTGTACTGGCATATGATTTGATTGGCTGACGCTTCCATGTGGGTTTAGTAGTATGGGCGGATGCGTGGGTGTGTTGTGTGGCTTTTGGCTCTGGACGGTCCGGTCCGTTGCCGAGCGACTGAGAGATGGTGGCTAAGTCAGCTGCACAGACTCATGTGATTAGTAGTGTGACAGTCCAATATCTATTAGCTTCTTCGTGGAATAAACAGCGAATGTTTGTGGTGTACCGTCAGGATGTGTCGTAAGTGGAGGGTGGGTTTGTTGGTGGTGGCGGGACCGCCGATTGGCGTGACTGAAGTCTGCCGATTGGAGCTTGCGAATGGAAATAAGAGAGCAGATTGTCGAGAGAGTCGATAGAGACAAGATGGTGCAAGACAGTAGTGCTAATAGAATGTATGCTCACACAAGTGTTCGTGTAGACAAGACGGGAAGAGACAACTGAGGCATGGTTGATAATAATTGAAATTGAATGTAGTTTTCGGGTTACAAGTGGGGGGGGGTGAGAAACAGGTGAGTTGAAGACAAGAGTGCGAGATGAAATGATTATGGAGTGGGGACATGAAGGGGAGAACCTTGGGTCATAGAGGTAGGGAAAGTAGAGCAGGAAGGTAAGCACATCGAAAGTGTGTCCACGGGATGTGTTGGTGTGGAGGTTTCGATTTAGATTTTCAAGCTACCGGATTTATGGGTTCTCGCGCGAAACTCTTGGAGACCGACGTTCCGTATTATGGGGCAGCTGTATCAGCTAGATGTGCGAAAGAGTGAATTAGCTGGTCTGAAGGTTTAGCTAGGGATAGTTGTTGGGGGAGATGGCGGTGAGAAGCGGGAACGGCGATAGACAGGGTGCAACAGGGTGAGCGCGCGTGGGTGTGATGGGGTGTTGCACAAGTGAGCGAGTGCGTGTGGGAACGTTAGAGCGGCGGGGCGGTAGGAAATAAAAACCAGGACGCGATTGGGAGCCACTCGGACCAGTTAGGGAAGTTTCATCCTAGGGTCGGTTTTTTCAAGACCCGTGGGACGACATCTGGGAATGGGGGGAGGCGGGACAACACCAAGAAAAGGGGGTAATGAAACCACGAAATTCCAGTTTAATCTGACCAGTTTTAGCAAAAGTTGGGACACTCTGGGGTGTATCTGGTAAAGGGCAAAAACATATGAAGAAACACAAAAACGAATATTTAATCATAGTACAAGAAACGTCATATTATGCGGGTAGTTCGAGAACATGTGTAGGGGCCTTTAGTCGTGTTGGAGTCGATTGACTATATAGCAGTGAGTTAATCTGCCGAGATATATGTGACTATGGGGCCGGCAGTGTGTGTCGCAATTTTTTTAGCAAGGTTTACGAGACGGGTAAGGTGAAACTTACCCCACTGCAGTGACGAGTGAAAAGCGGGCTTGACGTAACACCATTCGTTTCGCCTCTAAAGGTCCGTAGAGTCCTGAAGTTTTCAACTCGTTACAAGTTGAAAACTTAGAAGA